AGGTAATTGAACGTCTTCAAACCTTAAAAATGTTGTCTACATGATAAGAAAAACCAGTTTGTGTGGGAATTATCTTCCCAAACAAATTAGAGGCCGTGAGATACCATTACGCCGGGATAAAAATATTGAATGCTGTTGTAGTTATTCGAAAATGGCGCAGCTCAGTGCCCCAGCACGCCAAGGGACAGTTAAGCTTTGAACGGCGTGTGCGACCAGATAACCATTAGCTACGTAAAATTCGGCGGCACAGTCATTTATAGTTATTTCTTTAGTCCGTGCATGCTGGAAATGAACACTTTCCATCATCCATTGAGGTTTAAGGCCGAACCTGCTTTCATTTAAATATAATTAGAAAGGTTGGATCAGTGATTCAGCCTGCCCCGGCTGAGATGACGCATGAGGGCTATTAACGATCCCTAAGTTAGAACGCGTGGTGATGTCATGTTTGGTCATGGAGGACAACAATTGCGCAAGGTAAGTCTTATGACATCTAATACAACGCTGTCTGTGTTAAATGGATTTGGGCATGCTCAATGTTAATGGCTAACGCATAAAGAAGGTGACCGAAACCAAGCTTTGGGCATAGGGATTGGTGCTTGGACCTAACAAAAGAACGACGCATCTGATTTTCACGGCACGTAGCAGGGAAATAAACTATCAGTCTTACGAGTTCTCTGAGACTACCCTTTGCTCCGTCTTGCACATACCTGATGAGCAGTTGGAGCAGACGCCACGATCCGTGGTGCTGAGCAGTTGGAGCAGACGCCCCGATCCGTGGTGATGAGCAGTTGGAGCAGACGGGGCCGGCGCCTGAAGGTGGCCATCATGGGGCGTCTGCTCCAACTGCTGGTGGTGCTGAGCCGCTGGAGCAGACGCCCGTGGTGCTGAGCGTGGACTCCATCCGTGGTGCTGAGCAGCTGGAGCAGACGCCCCGATCCGTGGTGCGACTGGTCTCGGTCCGCCCCAACGCACCACTTTGGCGGCGCCAGTCCCCTAGCCGTGGCGCTCCCCGGTCCTCGGTATGGACGAGCCATTCCCGACCTGACAAATCGGCTCATCACGACGCGACAGGCCGTTTCGGCTATCACGCGCGATACGCGCGCCGGCCCCCTCCGCCGCAGTCTCCCCGGCGGGCACCATTGACCACGAGAAATGTTGCGGTCTGCTCTGACCTTCGCCGAGGCGGGCCGGCCTAAGGTCAGCTGTCAGCTTGTTTAGACACGAGACTGCTTGGGGCGCTCGGAGCGACAAATGCCTCCGACGGCTTCCGTTTAGGGCCGATGGCGTCGCCAGCATGGACCGGCGAGCCGGTCGCAGGTCTTGAAGGTGGCCATCATGTGACTCATCAGCCGCTGCGACCACACCCTTCACTGGCCCGGAGCGCTGGCGGCCGGCCGTTCTCGCGACGGCCGCGGCTGGAGGCGTGGTCGGTCGTGGCCGCGGTAAGTACGGTGTCGCGTGCCGCCGACAGTGCCTGCGCCTCCTGCGGTCTGCGGCGTGCCTGAGCGCCGCGGCTCACTCACTCCATTAGCCGGCGTCGCCACGCCACGGCGGGGCCGGTGCCCGCGTCGGTCAGACGGGCGCGCCCCAGGTGGGCGGCGGCGCCGGCCCGGGCGGCACCCGCCGGACGGCGACGTGGGGCCGCGGCGGCAATGGAGGCCGGGCGGCCAACGCTGCCGGCCGCTGCACCCAGCTCTTGATCTGGGCTATGAAACGATCGCTTTAAATTAAAGGTAAAATTGGGAAAACGTCCACAAGGCCCATATTTTCTCCCTTGCTTTATAATTATGAATTCACAATGCAACAGAAAATGCGACATTTCTCATTTTACAGATATTTGGCCACGGGCACGGGCTTTCGCAAAATAAATTAGGCCGTAAGTAGATTGTCCAGTTCTGTTGGGAATAGCAGCTCAGTGCATCTTTAACATGGAAGGCTATGAATGTTCCATTTTGCGGGTCCCCTCAGCTGCAAGGTAACATGTGTTGCCATTCAACTAACTGGACTGGCGCCGCTTGATATCAATGAACTTTCGGCGTCGGAGGGGCGCTTAAGTCTGTTCGAAGTCATATTGGACAGTTCATTGCCCTCCTGAGTTTTTGGTGACAATCCAGAGCATAGCGTGGCAACAACAGTACCGTGTTTTAGTCGGATTATAGATCTACCGCCAACTGGAATTGCGGTTCCTATTTCTGTTCAGTGGCTCGTGTGATCTGAACCTCCGGTAATGTTTTAGCTAGCCTGGCCTGTCCCTTGTTTGCACCAACGGTAACCGCTGGCGGAGTCATATGTAAGTCCCCAGCGGTTTAAAATCAAATCGTCGGGTCCTAGGCTTTGAAGCGACAATTGATTACCTTAACAATGTATATCTACGAACCTCACGAGCTTAACAGATGTCACGTGACGTTAATGCATGACTACCGTTGCCTCAAAATTGATTGGTTTTGCGTCCGGCTAGACTTGACAATTAGATTGACAACTTAGACAATTTAGATAGAGTTAAATCACAGGTCTATAGGCCAGCAGTGACAAATTTATAGGCCAGTGGAGAGTGATGTGGTGAGATTTTATGCATCTAGGGGTCCTCCGTTACCGAAACTCACCCTGCGCTGGAACACTTAGGGCATGTCCCGTTCATCAGGCTGCGCTGCCGTCAGCGAGTGCTGCAGCCCGCTCATGGCCGATGTGGGCTTCATATGATGGAGAGAGAGAGAGAGAGAGAGAGAGAGAGAGAGAGAGAGAGAGAGAGAGAGAGAGAGAGAGAGAGAGAGAGAGAGGGGGGGGGGGGAGAGCTCTTTTAAATGAAAACCCCATACAAATGATGTGACAATACATATAACACTGAATTGTCTATTGGCGGGTTTGTGCCAGGTCCGTGTGCTAGCACAGCAGACGTTTGCGGGTGGGATCGCAAGCTGACCCAGGGGGGAGGGCGGGCTGCGGGCTGACAATTTCGAAGCAGCTGCGTCTCCAGCCAGCACACGTCGACCCGCACTTCTGCCGGGGAGGGATCAGCTTCCTGCTCCACTATTCTTAGCTAGCCATGTGCCGCTACGACACTGGTTATGAAAATCTGAACCAAGTTCAACACGTGTTATTTAGTTTTTGTCATTTTGAAAAGCTAGCCCGGACAACATGTCAATCGAATGGAAAAGGTGAAGTCGTGATATTGCAATGTTACAGGAAAAGTCGCCTCACCGAGCAGTTTGCAAACAAATTGCACAACTCTCAATACACCAAAGCCTTAAAAGAATCATGTGTCTTGTTATTGTTTACTGGCCCACCTTGCGATCATTGGCTACAAAGGACTAAGTTTCTAGAGAACATGACCTCCGGTTTGGACCAAGCAGCCAACAAACATCAGTTGGGTTCGGCGTTTATAACTTGATTTGGCATGACCTTTGGCTTTATTGCGTATGGCTGAAGTGGTCATGACTGATAAGAAGCTGATGCACTACACCAAAGTAGTCCAAAATTTGAACTAGAAATTATAATTCCTGACTTCATATGCAATTCAAGACCATAGCTACTGCCAAGTAGTGGTTCTATCTTAAGTGGTTTAAAAGTATTTCAGAGAAGGGAAGAGAAAGAGGAAGCACCAATCTCCCGAGTGATTGTGGAAAGAGAAATGCAACAAAGCCTTTGAAATATATTCATCCGTATCAACAGATGCAAATACCATTCATATAGTTTAATGTATTTTCAGCATGTATATATATATGTATATATATATATGCGTTTATAATGCAGTTAGGGGCACAAGCGCACCAACGCCAGCTAAAGGCACGTGTGTTTTTTTCCGCACCATGCATGGCTGGAGACGTGAGGAACCAGTCACAACCGATTTGCAAAAGTCGGTTAGACACCAAATCAGTCCTATTATACAAATATTTGGCCTAAAAGGCATGCAGATCAGGCTAACGTGAGACCCTAAACGCCGCCTTCGCGCTGGACAACCCCAGCATTAGCGCCAAACTTACTCGCCTCCCTTTTCCGTAAGATGTATTCTGAAAGCCGATTATGGTCATGACTGCATAGATTTTCTTCAGCGTCAGAAATATGTCATTTTTTGCTCGACTTAGGCCGTCTTAGCTGGGTGCGAAGAGTCATGACACAGTTGCCTCCCCCCCCCCTTGGATCCGCCCTTGGACCAGGCAGGTGTCTCGCGATGTAAATGGAAGATTATCAGGTACGAGCAAGACAGTCTTATCAACAACAGGGCCGGGCACACCTGCGACGAGCTAGCACATGTGGATGGAACCCTACTCCAGACAGCGTCGGAGGCATTGTCCTGCGTCGTTGTCTCCCCAGCAGGTTGCGTGACGGACCTCCCTGTCGAGACGCCCACCCACCGCCGCAACAGCTGCTGGCGGGGATGTCACGCCACTGGTCCGTCTGCGCCTTGGCATCGCCGTTATTTATCTCAAGAGATGGATATATAGCAAAAGTGGCGGTGAAAAATGCTTCGCCGGCGGCAACGGCGAAGATTTATAGGCCCATTTTAGCTTGTTTCCCGACGCGTTTCAAGAAATCACGGCGGTGGCGTGTGGTTTGACTGCAGGCAGAAGCGGGTAGCATGGAACAAATAGCAGGCGGCATTAACAGCGCGTGAAACATACGCGTTCACTTACACCTGATGCTCAAGGGAATTTCTCGGGCGTTGCATGTCATTATCTGGTTGTACCAATTCATGACGCTTTTAATCAGTCGTTTTTAATAGGCGTTTCAGAAAAGAAGCGTGCAAACTAGGAAAAGCGAGGCATTGCTTTGCCTAGCAGTGTGCCCCTAGTAAGGTGGCTTTGTCTTGACCTTGCCTTGGTCATTCTCCAGCATTTTTCTTGATTGATCTCGATACGCATCGCGCAGTGTTAGCTGTGTCAGCTGTAATAGGCCGGCGATCATGCCGAGGAGCGATTCGGCTGCATGTCTCGTCTTTCCGTGCAGTGATGCACGTTTCCCTACATGACGCCGCCTCCTGATATCGCCTCGAACGGTTGCAGGTCTGCCCAACGACCTGAAGGTGTACTGGCAGCAGTACCCCTGGGGACTGGGCGTGGCGCTCTGCAAGATCCGAGCCCTCGTGTCCGAAATGTGAGTACACGCACTGTACAGCGCTCCCGGCGCGGCGCGCTGACGCGGTGGCATTCCCCTCACAGCGGGACGGGTGAGGCGCCGCGCTCGGGTGAAAATGCCGGCCGGCGCCGGCCACTCCTCCGAACCTCCTCACGCATTCTGACTGCGTCCTCACTCGCGCAGCGTGCACAGCTTTTACGGACCAAGGACACTTCCTCAGGCTTCTAATAAGCCTTTAGGCTCGGGGCGGGACGACGAGTAATGCGGATGGTGGAGGCGATCGATCCCCACCGCTGCCCTGACGCCGGGATCTATAAAGAAGCCAGGCTTGCTCTTCACCGGCCAGCGGTCATGGGATCTATAAAGAAGCCAGGCTTGCTCTTCACCGGCCAGCGGTCGTGGGATCTATAAAGAAGCCAGGCTTGCTCTTCACCGGCCAACGTTCATGGGATCTATAAAGAAGCCAGGCTTGCTCGTCACCGGCCAGCGTTCATGGGATCTATAAAGAAGCCAGGCTTGCTCTTCACCGGCCAGCGGTCATGGGATCTATAGAGTAGCCAGGCTTGCTCCTCACCGGCCAACGGTCAGGAGCGGAGTCCGCCTGGCACGCGATGATGTTACCCCCCGACGCACGCTAATCCACGGGTGTCTAACACCACCACTTCTGACCGCTTGGTGACATCCAGTGACTCGTTAAACAGCATCTCTCCTTGACCTACCTGTTGACAGTCGGCTTCCCCGGGGTCTTACAAGGCCGTCTTTTAACCCATTGGGGGCAACAAGCGCGAGTTACCCTAAAACTGCTCTCCTTGACGGCGCCAGTGGCCCGTGATTGCACAGCCTGCCCTTGACCTACTGCACGGTACACGCTGACCCGCATCTCCCAGACCGGCGGGCCGTTGCTTATGGGGCCCGTAACTCGCGGCCGGGCAGTGCATAGCAGCCCAGAAACCGCGACCGACTAGGCGGGGTCCCGTCACGAGCGGTCGTTCATCACCCGTTGGAAAACCCGGTGGAAAACAAGCCTAGCATTGATGGCCAAAGACATTTGATCCCACGTCATCATTCGACATAGCCGCGCTGTTACTAGTTGGATACAAGTTTCGGTGCCTCGTGCCGCACCAATTGCTGGTATATCCTAAAATGTTGAGGTCTAAGTCGCGTCAAGTGAACGCATAAATGATTCAACTAGGTAACGTATTTTAGGGAGTTTCTTGCTCGTCTTGTTAGGTTTTTCCCGGTCAGCGTTACTCCCTGGCATGTCACGAAGGGGTAATATTTTCATGTCATCATAGTTCACTGACATAAGAAAACCTCTAGTAATTACTGTTGGCCATCCATGCTCTAGAAGGTTGTACTTGATGTTTGTTTGACTTAATGAGTTTGAAGTTCTTAAGTTGTGTTCATGACTCTCAATATACCAGGAGGCATTGTTTGAACGACGTGGTAATGCTGAATGACAAGTATAATGACGGCACTTAATATTTTGGGCTGTTCTCATCCTCAAGAGTAGCAAGGGCTCATAAAGGTTCAGCAAAATATGACACCTAAAGATGACACACGTGAATCCAACAAATAATCCAAATCTTCGCGGATACTGTCACTAAAAGATGTCAAAGACATAAATCACCCAACCTACCACCACCCCGTACAGAGGACAAGTAGCAAAAAGGCAACTTAAAAATCAAATTTACTACAGCCGGAGGCTGACCAGTTCGACACGGGGCATCAGACAAGAACATTTCTTACCGCGTGCCATCCACAACGAACATTTTCTAAACCTCAGGAATGTGCATATCCTAAACATGTTGTATAAGCCAGTCCCATGATGAAGTTTGTATATTCAGCCGATGACATGGATTCCAAATGTGCAACGATTCAAGGATCTTGAGAAATGCATTGCCTTAAGCTTTTGATCAAAGTTAAATTTTAAAGTCAGTACTTATTGCGCCATTTTCCACAGTGGCGCTTCAATCAACCATGTGTTCTACTGGTCTCTACGTTCTCCGGATGAGGTGGCGTGAAAGGTGGAAGGAGGAAGACCAAAAGTACTCAAGTTAAACTTGCCTGAAGGGTTAAGGTGGGCCTGAAAAAGGTGGCGTTTGGCAGTCATCATATTCTTTAGGCAACACATTAAATTTTAATTAGCACACGTACATTAAAACACTTTTTCGTGGCCAAGAACGATTCGATGGCAATTGGGCAAAGCTGCTCATCCCCGTCCAACGACGCTCAAATTGCACCGCTCCATCTGGATCGGGTTGATGATCGAATGGAACGGCACCTCGGGGGCTAAATGAGCCTCCGCGGTAAAATGAAGGTCATGTCCTGCGCTGAAATGAAGCTGGTGGACCGTCCATCATCGCCGCTTGGCGGCGCTTCTCCTGCCGGCTATTGAGGCAGCGAACGACGCGATGACGCGTATTGATAGGTCGCATGACGGGGCGCCGTCGCGTGCGAGCGTATTTCACGTCCATTGCGTCGGTATGGGTAGCCTCACTGTATAACGATTTTTCGGGACCAGCTGTCGCTGGAACTTTGCATGCCAATTTGCCTAGATCGTGCCGACTGCGTGCCGCATGATTCGTATCACAAGGCAATAGAAGACACAGCGCAGTCAAGCCTGCACTTTATAAACGAGTCTACGATCTAGCTGAGGATTCAATATGAAGGCTGTCTGATGAATCGATCACTACCAATGATCGACCGGAAGATACGATCAATGTCCTTATTTAGCACGTTTTCTGTTGGACGTATAGGGCCTCCTGATAAGCCTTCCTTATTCGATTTTCTGGATCCAGTCAAGCGAATGCTGCTTTCTAAGAAGTATCTGATCAGGCTGAACACTTATGCACCAGGTGAGATGTTGTCACTTGTGCGCTACATCGCCCAGTTGGCGTCGCTAAGACGTCATGCTGAAGCTAGCGAGTAAATGCATATTGGCACTCATATATATGTGAGTTGCATATTTGTAAAGCACACTAAACAAAAATTCACCAAAATGATATTTCATAACTTTCTAATGATAGTAAACCAAAATAATAGTTCACCGAAACAAAACTACTACAATTACAAAGAAACTGAGACCAACTTTTGTACTGAGCCGAAACGGCCGGGCCTGGCCGGGCCCAAAAGCCTGGCAACACTCAGCTGCGTGATCTGTGAAACGGTGCGGCGCGTCACAGCCGCTTCTCTGTCTGCAGAACTGGGCACCTGGCTCTGTTCACTTGACGTTGGTACTATCTGTCTAACGATAACACTAAGTGTCTCATCACGTCACTCGTCCTGCTTTGTGAAAGGTGACATTCTGGCTTTAAATTGGTTTAATTTGGCTACACGACTGACTTTAAAGCTGCTAAGGGTGTTCACACATGAAGTGTACTCAGACACCCCGAAATATATTTGTATTCAATATTACCTGGCCAATATCCAAATGCAATTTGAGTCGCCATGGGCAGGAAAGATGTGGGAGCCGGGTCTATATCATTAAACAATTTATTATCATTATCATTATTATATGTGTATGAAATTATCCACAATGTCGAACCCCGGCCAGCAAACCGTCTCCGAGGAGTTCCTTACAGATGCTGTGTATGCGGTTCCCGGCGCTGCTGAGTCCTGACCTTGCGGGCCTTCTGCGGGTGGGCGATAATGTTGTCCACCATCCGGGCCTGAACATGGCTTACCCCGCAGATGAGCGTACCCTTCAACTCCACCGTTGCGCGCATTTTTGACATGCATACACCTAAACGACGTGGGGCCGATTTGTCCCTTCTTGCTCAGAGACGTGTGAGAGGAAGCCGTTACCATCAACCCCGAGCACCGAATAAACACCGTGCTGGAGTTCTTCGGGAGAGAGCTCGGCCTAAGACGCGGCCCCAGCTGTGACCAGGAATGACTGTGGCGAGACGGTGCCATCGGGACAGAGCTCGGCCTAAGACGCGACCCCAGCTGTGACCAGGAATGGCAGCAGCCAGACGGTGCCATCGGGACAGAGCTCGGCCTAAGACGCGGCCCCAGCTGTGACCAGGAATGGCAGCAGCCAGACGGTGCCATCGGGAGAGAGCTCGGCCTAAGACGCGGCCCCAGCTGTGACCAGGAATGGCAGCAGCCAGACGGTGCCATCGGGACAGAGCTCGGCCTAAGACGCGACCCCAGCTGTGACCAGGAATGGCAGCAGCCAGACGGTGCCATCGGGACAGAGCTCGGCCTAAGACGCGACCCCAGCTGTGACCAGGAATGGCAGCAGCCAGACGGTGCCATCGGGACAGAGCTCGGCCTAAGACGCGACCCCAGCTGTGACCAGGAATGGCAGCAGCCAGACGGTGCCATCGGGACAGAGCTCGGCCTAAGACGCGGCCTCAGCTGTAACCAGGAATGGCAGCAGCCAGACGGTGCCACGCTGCACGTCGCTCAGTGATCTCTCAACTGGCTGCAAGCCAATTTTCAAAACCCCGTTACCCAAAATACGGACATCCCATGTAGCCCCAACTCACCATACCTGAGCCCAGTCGATTTCTTCACTTGGGGCCACCGCAGCAATCGGGCACATGTCAATAAACCTCGCACAATAGAGCAGCTAAAAGCGGCAATCTTCCGTGAGGTGAGCCGCGTCACAGCCCAGATGGGGATGACACCATCACCTACCTGCTGGAGACATGTCTTCTCCTGATCCTGCGGCACCGGGGAGCGCATCCAGAGCATGCTCTATGAGATACTGTTGAGAGGCGGTTTGATGACCGACGGTCGTCGGCGTTGATAATTGTGTTGTACCATCTTATGGACAAATCAAATGATATGTGGATGCTAATGATTGGAAGTTCGATGGAAAGTCCGTGAGGAAAAGTCTGAGTACTTTTGAGTTGCGGAAGCCACGTGCAGCCTAGCGTTGACAAAACTGGTATACCTGGCACAAAAATTTCTGCAAGGTCGTAGTTGCTTTGCGTCGGTTCCGGCGTCGGCGACCAGGTCGATACAACGGCTTGTACCGCATCGTGCAGCGCTAGGCACACTGTTGC